AGGTGGAAGGGGGCCTGGGCACAGGTGAAGAATGTGGTGTGGGAGCCCACACGCCACACACACAAGCCCACACCCCTTCACAACTCCCCCCACCCACAAAGCCCCCGCACACCCACACCCCTCCCACATGAATTTAACACCCTGCCTGACATCTGACAGTTTCAGGTAACCAGACTGCTTCAGCCATTATCTGCTCCTAATTTACATTCCTGCAGAGCAGTTTTTTAAAAACTGACCTTTCCACTTGGGAGAAACCCCAACATCTCTGGTTTCTTGTCTGCAAGATGAAGTTTCCTTTCTACCTGGGAGAACTCTTAACAGCTTTGATTTTTCCTTTGCCTGATGAAGGGCATCTGAGCCTGAAAGTTTGCAAAGAAAAAAAATTGCATCTGTTTAGTTGGTCTAATAAAAGATAAAACTTTTGGGGCAGAAGTGATATCTGCCTATGCACTTACACCAGCATGGCCACAACCAATATCCCTTTCCCCATTAAGAGCTTTTCTACAACAGTTTTGCATTGCTGTCTCCCATTGACACATTATTGGGCCTAGTTTTTAATTTAAGTTTTATTCACTCATCTATGCTAAGGGAACTTGCACTGGAAGGTACGTGAATATAAGCCATGCTGTAAAATGTGGGCCACACTGTGACTGACTGAAGTTAACAGAAGATCTGTGCTGGTCCTGTAGCAAAATGTTTGCTAAACCAATCCCTGAAGGCTGAATTAGTATTAAACCAAGTCAAAACTTTCTGAGATCCCTTCTTCAGTTCACAACAATAATGTTTCACAAAAGCCACTTCTTGGTTGCTGGCCAAGACCTCCTTGGTCCAAGTAGTAGGATCTTCAGCCCACTTTCTCTCTGCCTCACACCTCTTGCCCTCCTCCTGGTTAGCTTTGACCACTGCAGTGGAAGAAGCTGAGGCTTCCTTCCACTAAAGAAGCTGATGAGGCTTGAGTTTCTCCTTTGAATCATGGAGGCCTTCATAGATTCATAGATCTTAGGGTCGGAAGGGACCTCAATAGATCATCGAGTCCGACCCCCTGCATAGGCAGGAAAGAGGGCTGGGTCTAGATGACCCCAGCTAGATGCTTATCTAACCTCCTCTTGAAGACCCCCAGGGTAGGGGAGAGCACCACCTCCCTTGGGAGCCCGTTCCAGACCTTGGCCACTCTAACTGTGAAGAAGTTCTTCCTAATGTCCAGTCTAAATCTGCTCTCTGCTAGCTTGTGGCCATTATTTCTTGTAACCCCCGGGGGCGCCTTGGTGAATAAAAACTCACCAATTCCCTTCTGTGCCCCCATGATGAACTTATAGGCAGCCACAAGGTCGCCTCTCAACCTTCTCTTGCGGAGGCGTTCTTGGTTGCTGGCCAAGACCTCTTTACCCCACTTGCCCTCTGCCTTATACCTGGAAAGCTTCCTGCTGTGTGGGGAAAACTCTGCCTGCTTCTTGCCCTTCTCCTTGGGAGCCAGGACCACTGCAGTGGCAGAAGCTGAGGCTTCTTCACATGCTTTAGAATGAGCATCAGCACTTGCCCTGTGCCTTACACCTCTGTTCCTTACTCCTCTCCCTTGCAAACCTTCTTCTTGGTTGCTGGCCAAGACCTCCGCATTCTGGGTAGTAGGCTCTTCAAACCACTTGCCCTCTGCCTTACATCTCAACAATCAAGCAGACACATCCCAACCTGACCTCTCTCCATTGCACTCTTGTGAAAAACCTACCTGCTTCTCACCCAGAAGCTGAGGCTTCTTCACTGGCTTTGACATGAGCATTAGCACTCGCCCTGTGCCTTACACCTCTCCATTGAACTCTTATAACTTTGGAATCATTGCTCAGGGAAAGCTTCTTGCTGGTGGGGAAAACCCTGTCTGCTTCCTTCCCTTCTCCTTGGAAGCCAGGACCACTGCAGGGGCAGAAGCTGAGGCTTCTTCACACCCTTTAGCATGAGCATCAGCACTTGCCCTGTGCCTTACACCTTTCCGTTCCTTACCCCTCTCCCTTGCAAACCTTCTTCTTGGTTACTGGCCAAGACCTCTGCATTCTGGGTAGTAGCCTCCTCACACCCCTTGCTACCTACCTTACACCTCTCCATTGCACCCTTGTATTTCTGGAGTCACTGCTGGCCACAAAGCAAGCTGTGACCGTGAGCTATGACCACTGCAGTGGCAGAGGGCTTGGGTTGTAGGTGGTACCTTCTACTAAGGAAGCTTGAGTTTCTCCTCTGAATTGCAGAGGCCTTCTTCTTGGTTGATTTGTTTGCTCTCTACCTTACACCTCTTGCCCTCTTCCTGGTTAGCTTTGACCACTACAGTGGCAGAAGCTGAGGCTTCCTCACTGGCTTTGGCCTGAGCATCAGCTCAATTTGCACAAGTTCTGCAGGCCCACTTCATATAGTTTTGTTGCCCTTCACCTGGTTACTGACCAGGTACCAGAAAATCCAGATTGAGGTACATGTCTTCTGACACCCACCCACCACTGTCTCCTTGAGGGGGGGGGTCTGTATTTTAATATGGAAATTTTTAATTTTTTTTTTAAAAAACAAGGAGATTTTAAATAAATAAATAAAAGTAGAAAGTCCCTCCCCCACCCCTGACCTGAGGAGGGTATGGTGGGGAGGGCAAGAGGACAGGAGATTACATGGGTGGGGGGAGGACATACACTGTAAGTGAGGTTGGGGGCCCAAAGAACTAAAAGGGGATAGAAAATCAATGTATTATTTCTCTCCCCTGTCCATGCCTCCCTCCATCCCTCTCCCCCACCCACGTAAGCTTTGTGCCCAGCAAAGATTCCAAAGTTACAATGTGACTGATATGGAGAGTGAGTAGCATGGCCCAACTCAGCCATCCAGCTGAGTTGGGCCATCCATCTGCATGCCTGGGGGCCCCACCTGAGGCTCCTTTTGGGACCATGGCTTGAGCCCATCCTTGACCCAGCTGTGTTCCTGCTGGATGGGACATAGTAACCAGGAAGAGGGTGCAGGACACCTCCCTCCCTCTTCCCCTCCCCCCACCCACCCACTTACCTACCCACCTGGGGGCCCGCTCCCTCCCTTACCTTTGTGCCCATCAAAGATTCCAAAGTTACAAAGTGACACAGGGAGAGTAGCATGGCATGGCCCAACTCAGCCAGCCAGCTGAGTCAGGCCATTCATCTGCACCTGAGGAGGCCCCTACCATGCCTGGGGTCCCCCACCTGAGGGGGCCCCTTTTGCAAACATGGCTGCCCCCCCCCCCCCCCCCCCCCGCCACGCTCCCAGCCTCGGAAAAGTGTCCCCCCACCCCGGCATGTTCCTGATGGGTGGGACAAATTCAGTAACTGGGAAGGGGGTGCAGGGTGCCTCCTTTCCTCCAGCCTTCTCCCCCACCCACCTGTCGGCCGCATCCCTTCCTCCCTAAGCTTTATGCCCAGCAAAGATTCCAAAAGTACAATGCAATGGAGATTAGCATGCCTGGGGCCCCCCCATGTGAAGGGGAGCCTATCCCTCCCTCCCTAAATAAGCTTTGTGGGTGGGTTTGCTTTCTTTCTTGCAAGAAAATTATGGTCGTGCATGGTTCTGAATGTGATGAAGTTCAGAAGGTTTGAAATATTGAAGGAAGTGTCATGTAACCAATCACTCCAAAGTTTCAAACCCAGCTGTCTTCCTGCTGGGACATGTTCAGGAACTAGGAAGGGGGTGTAGGACATCTCCCTCCACCCCTCTCCCCCACCTACCCACCTGGAGCCCCCTCTCTCCCTCCCTCCCTGAGCTTTGTTCACAGGAAAGATTCCAAAGTTACAAAGTGACATGAAGAGAGTAGCAAGACCCAGGTCAGCCAGCCAGCTGATTCAGGCCATTCATCTCCACCTCAGGGGGCCCCAACCATGCATGGAGGCCCACACCTGAGGGAGCCTCTGGAGGACCTTGCCTGGTGGACCCTACCTGAGGGGGCCCCTTTGTGACCATGCCTGAGGGGTCCCCTTTGCAACCCCACCAGAGGGGGCCCCTCCCTAACTAAGCTTTGTGGGTGGGTTTCTTACTTGCAAGAAAATGCTGGCTGCAGACTAGCCTTGGTCAAGCATTTGACCTCCCTCCATCCAATAACAGTCCACCCTGCAACTCTTTGCAGGCTTTCCAGTAATTCCATGACTCACCCCACCCCACCCCTCCCCAGGAAGAGCATTCCCACCACTGAGGCAGACACGGTCTCTGAAAACAAATCCAATCATCCCAAAGAAAACATATCTATTATTATAGAACAAAAAACTTTACTGAGAATGAATAGGAAAAATAACTATATACAAATTGACAACATAAAAATAAAATAAATACAAAATATAAAAGAAAAATTAAAAGGTGGGAAAGTCTCTTGACTTTGAGTCCCTATTAGCAAAAGTAACTATGTACAAATTCACGGACAATATAAAAAATAATGTAAAAATAAAGGGGCAGGGGTTCAGTATCTTGACAGTGAGTCTTCACTGGCCTGTGGGCTCATCCCTGGAAAGTTCCTTCCACAAAAGTTTTCTGCAAGGAGGGAGGAAAAGGGAAGAAGAGGAAGAGAAGGGGGGCTTGGTACACAGTTGAAAAAAAAAAAAAATGGACTTTTGCCACCCCCTCTCTCCCCGACACACATGGTCAGTAGGACATTTTACCTAAATATCACCTGGGACGCTGCATACCCCGGGTGTTGGGTCTGGCAGGCAGCGTCCTGCTGCCCTTGGACTGATCTCTCTGAAATGGAATGTGATGAAGTTCAGGTTGCAATATTGAAGGAAGTCATGTAACCACTCACTCCCTCCAAAGTTTCAAACTACTTTCAGAAAACTTAATATTATGCTGAATACTGATGCTGCCACTCTCATCATGAGCCATGGCCACTGTGTTGGCAGAAAATGGGGAGTGCAGGGGTCACAGCAAATGAAGCGTACCAAAGGGGCTGGAGGACAGGAGGGTACATGGGCAGGGGGGAAGGACATGGACAATAGGTGGTGGGGATGGGTTAACAATTAAGAGAGGGTAGAAAATTATATAATTTTCCCTCCCCTCTCTCCCATCATTTAAAATAATAATAAAATAAGAATAATTGGTCCTGTCAACCAAGAAGACATCCTGACCTAACTGCGGAGAAGGGAGGGGTGAGGCATGAAAGAGGGTAAAGAAGAACACACAGCACCACCTACTGGATAGAAGCTGAAACGCAGTGGCCTCTCATGGCGAAGGGGATTAATTACAAGTCTTTGGGGTCTCCGGCTGTTTGCATGAACAAAATCCACAGTTGAAGCGACATAATAGGAAAGCGACACAAATTAAAACATCTTTGAGTAGCGTTAGCTTAAATGAGCTTTAAAGAGGCAGGAAATCCCAGGTCATGCAAACA